GATGAAATTACCTGCCAAAGCATTTTCCAACGTTTTTCAGGAGTCCCTCCAAATACTATATGCAAAGAACCACAGCTTACAGGTTACAGAGTTTATCCATACATGTAAACGACATATATACGCACGCACATATGTAAGCACGTATATACACAGGCACAATGCACACACGAGCCCGCGCTTTTGACACAGGGCCTGCAGTTTCCAGGCTATGGCCCTTCATGCAGTGACCCCCTCCCCTGGGTGCCCCGTGGCTCCCGGCAGCCCCACGGGAGCTGTGGGCAGTGCCCGGGGATGCTGCGTCCCACCAGAGCATGTGGGGCTCGCGGGGACACGGCCCCTGGCCACCAAACTGCAAGAGAGAGATCTGCTGGTGAGAAGGTGTGATGGGACAGTCTCGAGACGCCCACTGCCCAGCTGGTCATCCCATCCCCACTTCTAATCAGCACTCACGTTCTTAATTTTCCAAACCACCGACTTCTCCTAACTAGAACAGTTCAAGGTATAATTTTCAGTCTAGGTCCTTTGAAAGTATTCAGATAGCATCGTTTTTACAGGCTGGATTTCAGGAGGGAAGGGGAAAATAACATGGTCTCGTACAATCTCGGGCAGGAGAGAAGTTGCTGCGAGTGTCTGATCTCCGCGCGTCTCTGAAGTGGGGCACCAGGTCCCCTTGGAACCCCTCCGTAATGAATGTGCCTGAAGTAAGGTGGGTGTTTATCTCAAGTTGTTGCCTCAAACAGCCGGCTACCTGTTGGAAGAAGGGTCTGATCGATGCAAACCAAGGCAGCCACGCGTGAGCTGTTACACAGTGCTTAGTATTGATCAGAGCTAACGGCTGCCGATAGGAATGTGGAGCGGGCTGACAGGCGGAGAAGAGGGAAGGAGGAAACGGCCTTCGCTGGTGGCAGACGTACAGAGGAAAGCCGATAAAAAGTCAATTCCACTTAACTGAATGGCTGCTAACTAAATATTTTTGGGGCCAGAGCCTTCCCAGATAGCAGCTGGAGTGTCTCTGCTCCGGAACTGAGACATCAAGCAAGTGTGGCATCGACGGCTGAGATAAGAGACGCTCGTGATGGCTGGCGGAGCAGGAGAGCCTGACGAGCCCACACGCTGGCCCTGCACGCTGGCCCCGCACGTCGGCCCCGCACACCGAGCCTGCACACCGGCCCTGCTACAGCGCCTGCCACCGGCACTACCAGCTCCTCATGATGAGAAACGGGAATGGTGTGGGAAGGGTTCACGGAGCAAACACAGTACGTAAATACCTACTTCACAGAGAGAAAGCACTGATTTGGTTCCAGCGCCTTTCCCCTGAGATCCCGCTCAGGACCGGTGCCAGAGTGACTTGCTTGGCGCGGAGAAGCAGCACAGATTTTCCAGCCCCAGCCTCTGCCGGTTGGAGACACTTCCCGTGTCAGTGTGGGACCAGCGACTGCCACCAAGCCGGTTTCAAGTCTTTAATGGATGGAAAGTTTTAAGAGTTATGGCTCGCCAAATGTAGTTTGGAGAAGTTGGCGAGATGCCGTGTGGGTTCGTTTGGGTGGCAGGGCTACTTCTGCCTGAAATTGCCGCTGACACCCATCGTGTTCGTGCTCCCATTTTCCAGTCCAGAGGTTTCTCTGCATCGGGAAGGACTTCGGAATTCAAAATACATACACAGCAGCTCTGTAAATGATGCACCACGCTATGAAATCTCACTGTGGGAAAAGTGCTCAGGAACACGGTGGCACCAGCCCACGGCAGGAATCATAGAATCATAGAATGGTTAGGACTGGAAGGGACCTTCAAAGGTCATCTAGTCCAACCCCCCTGCAAGGAACAGGGATATCTCCAACTAGATCAGGTTGCTCAGGGAGGAGAGCGAGGAGCTCTCCTATAGCTGTCTGCTTCCTCCTCAGCACATCAGCACAACTTTTGGTTGTCTTCCTCTCTGCATTGCTCACATTAGTGCTGCTTTGGGGTCTGTTACATTATATGGTCATACACTGAAAGAGAACACAAAGCAACCAAGAATTGCTTTTCCTGGGCCCAATACTCAGTATTTTGACTATTTTTCAGGCCAACTTCTAGTGGACTGGATCAGCGCGTAAGGCACCTAATATAAAGTAATTCTCCAACAGTTTGATTAATAGGGTCATAGTCAGCTTCAGTTCAGGTTCAACCTTTTTAACGTTTCATTATTTTACAGAGTAATAAATCAGGACAGCAGGAAAAGACGGATGTAGGAATGCCCCTGTCTGCCCATCTGTTTGTGAAGACAATGGGTCACAGGACAGCGGTTTCCAGGGTTGGGGCAGCTGATGTTAGAAAATCTACTGGAGAGGAGTTTGTATCAGAGCCAGCAACGCCCCGAGGCAGGAAGAGGAAGCTGGAAGGCGGTTAGTGTGTCCTACAGAGCTGGAGTATTGACAAGGGGAGGAGCAGGTCAGGGCTTCCAGGGAGCTAACCAGGATGAGATACCTCCTTGCAGACGGCAAGAGGAAAGGCAGCTGTGTGACACAGCCCACCATCCTGGAGCAAAGTGGGATGCTGCCCTTTCTCACGGAGCAAATGAGTCCGTTCCCATCCTTTCAGCACCAGCGGTGGCCGAATCAAGCTCTCCACGTAGGTCCTTAATGAGCTCGGTGTTACGGTGATGGAACACGGCTCCAATATCGTCATGGGAGACTACAGCTTAAAGAAAGAAAAGCCGAGT